TGGTTCAGATGTTTTTTTTCTACAAGACTTTATTCCAAAGGGGCTCAGTCCTTCTTGGCAGCTGCCTTCCTTATGGCTACCAGCACTTTGCTCAGCTCCTCATGCTTCTTCTTGGTGCAGATGTGTGTCCCCCACCCTTTTCTTGATGAACTTGAGGGCACATTTATTCTTGGAGACCTTGAGCAGCTTCATGATGCACCACTTGTTGGGGGCAAAGCCGGACACCTCCTGGATCATGTCCCCCATGAACTTGGTTTGCTTGGTGAGGTATCTATGATGGTGGATGTGCCTCGGGTTGCTCACATTCTTAGTCACCTTGTGGCCTTTGTTGAGGCCCATGGCTGGGGGATAGCATAGGGCCATGGCTACTGTTCTACAGTGGTTGTTGTGGCAGAAGGTATGGTTCAGATTTTTGAAAGTTAAGAAAATCAAAGACATATTAAACTGAACCCTAATTTTGGTAAAGAAAATCAAACGTGGTCACATTTAAAAAAGCTAAAAACTAGTGGTGAAAATGAAATTGTAAAAGCAGCCAGAAGAGAGAAAAGATTACCTTCACAGAAGCAGTAGTAAAACTTACAGTTCACTTCTCAGAAGTCACAGTAGTGGGCTGGGGAGATAGCTCAGTGGTCTTAGTGCCTGCCTAGCAAGAGCAAGGACCCTGGTTCGATCCCTGGTACCACTTGCTGTGCCAACCAGTGAAACCAGGTGTGGTGGCTCATGCCTGTAATCCCAGCACTGGGGAGGCTGAGACAGGAGGATCATTATGAACGCAAGCTACGTAGCAAGGCCTAATATCCAAATAAATAAGTAAATAAGTCACAGTAACATCCAGAGCATAGACTCTTTAAGGTATGTAGGAAAATGAACATTGAGCTAGATTTCTCTGGCCACTGAACACAACATCTTTCTGGCAAAAGAAAAATGATTCTAGTTAACTGGAAAGTTGATTATGCAGATAAGAATAAAAAACAACTGAAATGGTAGATTTGTACTTAGTGTTAATATTGAGTGGAAAATATAGGTAGCATTTGAAGACTAATTAATGGGATATATAGAAGATTGGGGGTAAGTAATTTATGCATCCTAGAGTCTATACATAAAATGTGTAAAAGTAGAAATTAATGTTTTAAAGCATGGGGAAACAAACGTGACTCAAGGTATAGTAGAAAGGAAATTTTTTAAAAAGTGCTTGTTTCAAACCCTCCTCAGTACACATATGCGTGAGCATGTGTGTGTACACACACACACACACACAGAGTCAAGGAGTAAAGAAATAAAAAGAATATTAAAGAATTAAGACATGTAGGAAACAATAAAAAGGTAGATATAACCATATAAATGGACAGATTTCAAAGACTTGACAGGTTGGGTAAAGAAACAAAACTCACTTAGATGCTATCCATGTGCTTCCCTTTTAAAATATACAAACAAAAAATAGTTGAAAATAATGTCATGGAATCAAATACACATCATAAAAAGTCAAAAATTTATATATCTCTGTATTAATATTTTAGTATATTCTTTAAAGGCAAAAGCCATTATTGAAAATAGAGAGGGCTATTTTATAATGATAGAAAGATAACATTTTGACGGAAAAATAACGATTTTATATGTAACATGTCTTCTAAGCATATAAACAAACTTAGAAGTGAAAGAACAAATAAAACTTGTAGAGTGCTTGTCTAAAATGAGCAAGGCCCTAGTTGGTTCCCCAATAATACAGAAACAGCTGACTTAACCGTTGTTAGTTTGCTTTCTTTTTAAGTGTTCACAGAGTATTTATGAAAGTTGACTGACCTTGTACTGAAAAGCAAGTCTGAAAAAAAGGGCTAATATTTTAGATAGTGTATCTTCTGTTTACATTGTGGAAAGCTAGAAGTCAGAACTAAAGTAGAAGTTCTTATATTTGAAATGAGAAAAATAAATTTAAATATTCAGCAGCTAACTTTTTATGTGAATTTTAATGAAAATACTGCCTGTCAACTTAGGGCGCATAGGTAAAAATAGTGTAGAAGTACAAATACTACATGTTTAAGTGTATACTTTGTATTTTAAAAAGGGTACAATAAGTAAAACCATCGACTTCCAAAAAAGTTGGAAAAAGTATCAGATTAAATGCAAAGGGAGCCAGTTAAATATAAGACCCAATGCTATTATAGGCTACAGGACCCTTTTAGAATATTTTGCTGAGTTTACACACCTATAATATTCAATAACAGAACTTAGAAAAAATGGGGTATACAGATGAATGTCCATTTTGTATCTGTGTATTCAAAGAGGTTGGGATAGATATATAGTTGCATTCTCTTAATGAATAGAATGATTTGTTCTAATGGTGTTTGTAAATAGGATCACAAGTCCGCATCTTGTACAGCAATTAACCACTAAGAAGAATATATGCAGTGTATTATTTGTTGAAACTGTCCTTCCAATTTGATTTGAAACTGTCTCATTGCTATCTGTTTGTCAATAAAACTTTGAAAAAAAAAATGCAAAGGGAATACAAGGAATGAAAGGCAACTAAGAGTAAAAAAAAAAAAACAAACCCAAAAATAAAAAACAAAAACAAAATGAAGAGAAACAATATATCATCTAATTCATGCTGCATAAACCACCTTCTAAACTGTAATATTTAAATCAACTTTTGAATTTCTGCTCTGGCTAGGTTCAACAGAGAAGATCTGGCCTATATCTATAGTTAGCTGTGTATCAACAAGACAGTTCTGTGTTGCAGAGTTGGTGGCTGTGGATATTAATGATTACCTACTTGTTTTCCTTCTCCAACAGGCTGGACCAAAGTTCTCTACATAGGAGAAATAAGGGTCCAAAAGTGAAACCACATGATGCTGGCACATCATTCTTTCTACTACTTTGTATTGGCCAGTGCAGGGCACAGAGCTATCCTCGATTCAGGAGGCAGGAACAGGTGGAAATTTACATTGCAAATGAAAAAGTACAAGATGGTGGAAAATTGTGACTTATTTTGAAATCAGTCTAACCCAGATTTAGGCATTATAGACATTTCTAGGTAGACACAGTGTATCAAAATTCCAAGGAATGGAAAATAATGAATTACACTGATGCTGTAATAAAAACCTCCCACACAGAAAACTCTTGTGGTCAGGTGGTGTTAGAGTAGAAAAATCCTGGTTATATCATTGTTGTATTGAGAACAGAATAACTTTGTTGCCAGAACTTAAAAGCGATGTTATGAGAATGTGAAATTAAAGCTCAGCTCCATTTGTGAATGTATATTTTTAAAAATACATCATCCAAGTGTTGGGAAACGAATTCAGTAAAGACAATATTGCCTTATGATCAAGTTAAATTTATTTTAGAAATGTAAGTTGCTTTAACATCTGACAGTTGTAAGTCAGTGTAGTGTAGAAAAGGCTGTCACAAAAAAGTGTCTACAGATTACTCAAGACTTCACAGTGAGCTATTAACAGTTTTTATTTTTAAAATCTGGAGCAAGTCAAAGATGTTAACAGTTTTTTACTTGGTTTTGATTGTAAGGTGTGATGGCCCGTACTATAAGAATAGCAGGAAGAAATGAAAATTACATAAAGAAATTGAAGTGTCATTATTTGCAAGTAATATATTTTCATAAATAACCCAAAAGAACATACAGAAAATTTATGAGACACAAAAATGAAGAAACAAATTTGTTAAGTACTAGATTGATATAGGAAGGTGAATTATGTGTTCATATATTATATACAAACAATAACAAATGAGACTTAGGTTCAGCAAAGAGGTACATGAAGTATGTGTAGTGAGAAACTGGGCAACAACATAAATAAAGGCTTGGAATCTGGGTCTTATTGAGGTAGATCAAGTCCCTATAGATCAGAAGTTGTGAGTCTCAACTTGGGAATAATAGAAGTTGCATGAAAACCTAGGGGAGGAGTGACTCCTTTTCTAAAAGATAATGTGCATTATCTATGTTTTCATCTAAGAGTCACATTTCTAATATATGACAGTGTAGGTGTGCCACTTGGTGAGACAGAGTAAGAGCCGTTGGAGTACAGAGGGTGAAGGAAGTACACAGCTTATGTCTTCCTAAAAATGGACTTTGCTTGCAGCCTGTTACCTTTATGTAACGAAACACAAATAGTTAGATAAATTCAAGACAAGAAAAGGTAGGAAGCTGTATGGATAAGAATAATGTTTATTTGATTAAGTAAATACCACTCATTAGTTTTTGTGGGACTGATGATAGGCACTCATTCTTTGTGTTTTTTAATGTGGATGATGTGGGAATGAGGAAGATATACTTTGTAGAAATAGAAGTCAATCTATCCTTCCTGTGGGCCTTTAAAAATACCTGTACTGTATATGAATGCTAGAAGTTTTTGTTGAGGGATGGTAAATTTTTGTTTACACTGATATATATATATATATATATATATATATATATATATATATATATGTCTTATTCATAGAAAGAATTTGGAAATGTGCAAAAATAAAAGTGTGAGTTTAAAGTAGAAATGGAAAACTGAGAAAAAAATGTGTTCAGGAAATGTGATGAAAAAATGTGTATGTACATCCAAGACTTACACATTTAGTACAGAGTGAACCCAGATTTTGACCCATGCTTTAACAACCAATTCAAAATTGTAACTTTTCTACTTAGAAAATGAAATAATTTCTTCCTAAGAATTTCTATTAAATGAGTGATAACTACTTATCCTAATGAAAATTCTTTCAGCATTGTCATTTGGATGAGATAGTCTGAAATTTTGTAGAAAGGATTTCCATTCTTGGCTGGTGCTTAATATTTTGTTATCTTTTTTATATATTCTGGTACATATTACGCATAGGTAGGCAATTTAATATACCGAGTTAAATAAGTTATTCCTAGACTTGGCAAGAATTTACTTCTACGTTATATTTAAAATTTTTAAACTTCAGTATATATGGAGTATGTGAAACTCATTGTAAGAGCTATAAATTGCAGCAAGTGAATAATTTATGACTTTTTTCCTCCTCAGTTTAATTTTGTTGGGAGAATCCTTGGACCGAGAGGGCTTACAGCTAAACAGCTTGAAGCAGAAACTGGATGTAAAATAATGGTCCGAGGAAAAGGCTCAATGAGGGATAAAAAGAAGGTAAGCATTGAAAATAAAACTAGTTTTCATGTAAGTGATTTACTCTGGCTTTTTCATCCTATTAAGTTCTAGATCTTTTATATATAAAGTAGACTAAATTAAAAACTTAGAAACCTTTTTTTAAATATTCTGATTTTTCTCTTTGTTAATTACTATTTTTCATATAGGAACTACAAAGTATTAGTTACTTCATCTTGTTAACTTACTTTGGTATTCACACTTGAAAAACTGCTACTGGAAATAGACTATCCTGTTGTAACAAAGAAAATATGCAACTAAAAGCCTGAAAAAATCTAAGATGCTTGTTTTGATAATGGTACATATGAAATTGATCAAATGAATAACTTTGAAATCATTGGTACAGTTAAAAGAAAATCTGCTCAAGTGGAGGCTTATCATTTAAGAGCTGGTTTCAACACTATTTTGTCTTTAATTGTGAAGTTTTCTAGACATCTTTAAAGTATATTGTTTGTGTTTTCCTCCTGCCATTGTTTTGCTACTTTAGTAAATACCGAGTATCTGCTTTAAATGTTGTTGTTAGGAAGATTATATTTCACTAGTTTTTTGAGTAGGAAGGACTGATTTAAAAAACAAAAAACAAAAAAATCATAGGACTGGGGATGTAGCTCAGTGGCACAAGTGCCTGGTTAGCAAGTGGAAGGTCTTTAGTTTGATTCGCAATACAAAAACAAAGAACTAGATTTTCATTGCTGAGGATTAAAATCCTTAAGAAGAGCAATTTAAAACAAAGATACATGGAAAGGCCTATCAAGTGATAGATTGAATCACTTTGAGGAACGTAGGAACCATTATCAAACCAACAATGTGTCTTGACTTCATTCCTTGTTGTTTTCTCAGCATTTCATCTAACTTCAGTTAAACCCTCCCACGAGCTGAATAGCTCACTCTCTCTGACAGACCCTCCACCCATGGCCTCTGGAACTATGAGTTTAATGAAATGGCCCTTAGTCATATTGTCTCTTTATTATTTTTTTTTCCCATAGTTTTATTGAGAAACAAATAGAGACAATTTCAAATCAGATTGGTAGGACAGTTTCAATAAACACATTGCATATTGTCTTCCTAGTGATTATTTGTTGTACAAGATGCAGACATGATATTGTATTTACAGACACTATTAGAACAAATCCCTCTACTCATTAAATAAAGAGAATGTAGTTGTATATCTATCCTAACCATTTTGAATACACAGGTACAAAATGGTCATTCATCTGTGTCCCCTTTTTTTGTTTAGTTCGTCATTTAAATATTGGTGTATGAACTCAGCAAAATATTCCAAAATAGTCCAGTAGACCATAATAGTATTGGGTCTTCTGCTTGACTGGCAATGTCAGAAGTTGTTGACCTGAGTTCCCTACAGCTCAACATAACACCATGGCTTTACTTCTTATACTTAGTGTTTATACTTTTCTGCTCGATGGATAAGACGAAGATAAAGCAAGACCTATGTAACAAGAATTGTAGCTTTTGGATCTGATAAGTTCAGTCAAATCCCCTCAGGATTTATCCTGAGACCCTGTACCTCAGACTGTAGATCCTGTGTCAATGTCAGCCATGTGGATGAGTCACGGCCATTGCTTGGCTAATTTGCTCTCTGAGGAAGCCTGAGAGAATGTTTTCTCTCCATGTGACTCTCCTTAGGCACACTCTACATCATCGATCACTTTCCTCTTTGGCCCTATAATCTCCTTGATCAGAAAATTTGAGACACAATTGAGTTACATGATGTTACAAAAAGTTCCCATATGTCCTGAATCTTAATTGACCTTGGAAGGCTAGGGCCAAAATGTTGGCTTTCCTTGCAGCCCTCCTTTTTCTCTAATTTTTGGTCTATAGACTTAGGTTGTTAACCCTCCAGAAAGGAAGCGTATTGTTATTACCATACAACCTAGGCTGTTGAGTTTAACCGCACTATCTGTCTGAATATCAAACATCTTAGGCATAACATGGAAAAGATATTTTTCATCAAGTATTGATATGTTCAAATTTAAGTCCCTACAGTATATGACCAAAAAAAAAAGGATATTTTAAAAATAGGAATAATTACATATGTTTACACATAAGTCCAGAAATCTGACGATATACAACATTGTAGCAGGACAGTTCCACAACGCTCCTTTTCCTGTCTCCTGCCTTCATTCACTACCCACTTCCTTTTTAAACAATCATCTACCTGAGAGACAGCGTGGCAGCAACTGGTGTGTCATGACCAGCAGCATGTATTCAGAAGACCAAAATGACAGGCACTCTAAGCATGCACCTGCTATTACAAATTGCCATCTTTAGTGCAGTTGCTTAGTTCACAGCTGTCAGTATATATAGTTAGTCAGGGTGAGAATCCTTCCAATTAACTGCTAGTTTCAAAAATCTTCTGAAGATTCTCAGGATCATTGCCTTACCCATCTTCTACATATAACTGTGTGGCTTGCCACTGTCATGTTTCCTAGCTCTTCTCCTTTCTCTCTCTTAATTAGTCCTCAAGTTCTTGCTTTCCTTTTAATTATATTATACCTTTCAAATTGTATTTCTTCTTTTGAGTTCTTATATTAGGGAAACTGTACAGTATTTACACATGTGTGTCTGGTTTATTTCACTTATGAGTATATCTTCAAGTGGCATCCACTTCAATATAAAGGCTTCGAGTTTATCATTCTTTATAGCTGAGTAATACTCCATTGTATAAAAATACCACATCTTTTTCATCCATTCCTCAGATGACGGGCATCTTGGTTGTTTTCAAGATTTTGCTGTCACAAATTGTGCTGCTATAAACATAGGCACACAAATACCATTATGATATGATGTTTTCAGATCCTCTGGGAAAATTACCAGTAGGGGAATAGCTGGTTTAAATGGGATTTCCAGTCCTAGTTTTCTAAGGAGTCTCCACACTGATTTCCATAATGGTTGCACCAGTCTATGTTCCCCCCAGCAGTGGAGAAGTGTTCCTTTTTCCCAACAGCCTCTCCAACATTTGTTGGGTGATTTCTTTATGATAGCCATTCTTTCTGGGGTGAGATGATATCTCAATGTTGTTTTAATTGTGTTTCACGGATGACCAGTGATGTGGAACATTTCTTCATATATTTATCCGCTGCTTTAATTTCATCCTGAGCAGTGTGTGTTCTTCTTGGATGCCCACTTCTGGACTGGATGATTAAATTTTGGGACCCTGATGTTTTTCATTCTTTATTAAGTTCTAGAGAGCAGACCTTTGAATACTTACTTGTCAAGTTTTTTTTTTCCAAATTTGTGGGTTGTCTTTTCACGCTGTTGGTAATTTCTTTTGATGCACAAAAAACTTCTCTATAAGAGGAGGCCCCAATTATTAATTCTTTCACATGTCTTCCATGCAGTTTGATTTTTTTGTTCATGAACTCTTTGCCAACCCCTGTGTCTTCAAGAGTTCCTCCTACTTTGTCTTCCAGGAGATTTAGTGTTTCTGTTTTATTGTTTAGATCTTCAATCCATTTTTACTTTAGCTTAGTGCATGGTGATAGACCTGGGTCAACTTTTAGTTTTCAGCATATAGAGAGCCAGTTTTTCCAGCACCATTTGTTAAGAGGCTATCTTTCTTCCAGCGAGTATGTTTAGCCCTTTTGTCAAAGATAGGGTGGCTGAGTGTGTTTGTAGAGGCTTTAGCATCTTCTAATCTATTCCATTGATCCTCAGGTCTATTTCTTTGCCAGTACCATGCCGATTTTATCACAGTAGCTTTATAGTAAAATTTCAAGTCAGGAATTGTAATGCCTCCTGCCTTGTCTTTGTTGCCCAGGATTACCTTTTCTATTCTAGGTCTTTTCTGGTTCCAAATTAATTTTAGGAACGATTTCTCTAGGTCTGGGAGGCATGTTGGTGGTAGTTGATAGGAACTGCATAAAATAGGTATAGCAATTTTGGGAGTATGGCCATCTTCATGATGTTGGTTCTTCCTGTCCAGGAGCATGGAATATCTTTCCATTTTCTGAAATCCTCTAAGATCTCTTTTTTCAGAGTACTGTAATTTTCCTTGAAAAGATCTTTGACTTCTTTAGTTAGATTAATTCCAAGGTATTTCATTTTCCTTGGTGCTATTGTAAAAGGTATTGTTTCTGTAATTTCCCTCTCAGTGTGTTTGTTGTCTGTGTAGAGGAATGCTATTGACTTTTGGGTATTGACTTTATAACCTGCTATGCTACTGAATTTCTGTATTAATTCTAGTAGCTTCTTGGTGGAGTTTTTTGGGTCTTCCAAGTAAAGTATCATGTCATCTGCAAATAATGATAATTTAACTTCTTCTTTACCTGTTCTTATTCCTTTTATTTCTTTCTCTTGTCTAATGGCTGTAGCTAATGATTCCAGACCTGTATTTAATAGGAGTGGTCATAGAGGACATCCTTGTCTTGTACCAGATCTAAGATTAAAAGATTTCAGTTTTTCCCCATTTAGAATTATGTTAGTCCGTGGGATTTACCAGATTGAAGTAGAGGCCATCTATTCCAATTTTCTGTAGGACTTTGAACATGAATGAGTGTTGGACTTTGTCAAAAGCCTTTTCTGCATCAATTAAGATGATAATGTGGTTTTTAGTTTCGCTCTATTGATATAGTGTATTACATTTATAGATTTTTGAATATTGAACCATCCTTACATCCCTAGGATGAATCCTACCTGGTCATGGTGTATGATCTTCTTGATGATTTGCTGTATTCTATTTGCTAGGATTTTTTCATCTATGTGTATGAGCGAGATTGCCTGTAGTTCTCTTTTTAAGTTGCATCTTTCCCTGGTTTTGGTATCAGTATAATAATTGCCTCCAGCAATGATTTTGGGAGGATTACTTACTTTTAAATTTCACTGAAGAGTTTGAGGAATATTCGGACTCTATCTTCTGTAAATTTCTTGTAGAATTGAGCAGTGAATCTATCAGGACCTTGACTTTTCTTTGTCAGTTGGTTTTTTATTACATCTCATATTTCATTGGCTGTTATTGGGCTATT